TTTTTGATCATATATCTTTTCATTTCACACTTGATTTCATCTATCTCAGCTCTGCCACCACGAGCGTTGCTCAGTCCAGGTTTGGTTAGTAGTAGTTCCAGCATATCTCTTGATCAGCTTCATCCATACTAGTGTGTTGGATGTATTTGTGGCTCCTTACTCCTTGATTCTATCTGCTATTCATTATTCCAGAATTCCTACGTTGTTAATGCCATTTGTTGTCAATTGTGCTGCAATGTCCCCATTCACAACACTCTTGCATTTGTAGAAGGATAAGAGCCTATTCCTATATCAGCAGAGGTAATGCTTGTAGTTTGGTTGCTGGATCTAGGATGACAATGATATGGAGGACGCTGATACAAGCCGCCGTAGACACCACTGGAGACCCCCAGCCAATACGCACCATAATAACAGCATGCAAAGGACACTTACAGTCCATGAAATAGGTCTATTCCCACCATGGTCTTAGTGTAAAGAAGTCTTCGAAAGTGAGCTAGATTTAAATAATGAATATTGCAGCTGCAGCAGTTTTGCAAGTGAAATCCAAAACAGTAGCATGGCATAATGGAATGTAGTACAGATTCTACTAAATGATGCATTTTAAAAGTGGTACTTTGGTACCAACTTGTACTATGCATATGTTTTTTGTTACCCCCCCCATAAAAAAGCAGCAACAAACAGTAGCCAACAATGGCAAATCAAGGGTCTTCTCCACTCTGCTCGACCTCCTTGGCAAAGTACCAGGGGGAAACAAAAGGATTGCGTCACTGTGACTAACATTGGGAGTTGGGATTTGACATAGTCAGGTTGCACTTGCATGAGTTCATGCAAAAATTAATAACTCTGTTGGTGTATTCCCACAATTCTTTTGGTCAAAGAAACTCTGGATGGCAACTGAAGCTGCATACCTCACTTGACTCCAATTATCTTGTAACACTTTTGCAATGCACTCTGTCAACACCTTTTTTCTACTTCAAAGTTATAACACATCCTTGTACTCCTTGGTGCTGTCAGAGATCACACCACTCCACACACATGGCCAACCCAGCTGCTTGCACATGGCAATTAGCATGTTATATCATCCAAACCAATGTCAACTCAATCAATTCATATGTCAATAAACCAATTTTTTTTAAATTCCACCACCACACCCTTAAATCATTTCTTTCAATGCTGCAATCAAGGTTGTCAGCACCTTCCATCCACTTGTATCATCCTGTGCATGACACGTCATGAAGGCAGTGGGGTTCTGAGGGATAGATCTCTTGGATTTTGTTGACTCTCTTCATCTTCTTCAAAATCAACCAACAAACATCAAAAATTCTCCTCAATGCTTTGTTCAATGCGTGGGCTCAGCATTGCAAACCAAGACAGGCCATCTCGACAAACAAGTTTGTCAAAAAATCAAGCAATTAAGGTCCTCAATTGAGATTCTTTATGCTCAAAGTGTCTCAATGCTAAATCCAAATTTGCGTCTGAACCTTTGATTGACAGACAGCTACTAGTATTTTCCATCAGAAATACAAATCATACACCAGTAGGAAATCTAGGGGATAATTTTCATAAACAAAGTGTAATTTCGTGCGTTTGAAAAAATTCGATTTGAAAATTATGTATCATCTTGTATCAGTGTCTTGTATCAGCAGTGTCTTGTATCATTGCCTCATATCATTGCCTCATATCAGTGCCTCCTATCAGTGTCTTCTATCAGTGTCTCCTATCAGCAGTTCCTCYGTACAGTATCAGTATTGTCATCCTCCATATCAGCGTACATATGTGTGCAACCAAAATCAGGTTTTACTTTTAGTACTATCATACCTCCAGGAGCTACTACCTTTCTTTGGCTTGTTGTTAGTAGTGGCTTGTTAATWGTGCTCACTGCACAGTTATTTACTGGGATTGTAACTCTCTAAATTCCATAGKACGGCCACTAGTAGTCATGACTGTAATTATTGGGTCTGCTGGTGGTAGTAACTTAATGAATGAAATTAGTGCATACAGTAGTACTAGCACCAGGCATGTAAATTGGTACCTAAGAAATGAAAACTATGCTATCCACAAGAATGACCATGTACATCATTCCACAGACCCTTAAACTGGTGACCAAAATACTATACTATTTTAATCACCAATTATGCCTGGTCCCATAACTTCATTCATAGCACAGGTGAGTGTTTTAAATCTGCTCTGAACTCAAGAAAACCAATAACTATTAAAAAATCTGCATGCTGTACAAACTACAAACCAGACAGTACAATTGAAATTCACCTGCCTCTCAAAATTTGTACCACGCTYATTTTTATTTTTCTCTTCATTCATGACACAATTGAAAAGCCTCCTTTTTTGTCTCCAGCAGATGAATGAATCAAGAGAGCACGGTTCAATCAAACAAATCCAAGAGATCCATCCATCATTGCTGTTTCTGTTGGTGCGGCATCTTCTGGAATGGTAATAAGCTGAAATTTCTGCTGCAGATAAAATTACTACTAGCCTTGTTCCTGTCAAGGAAGAAATTGTCTATGGTCACACCAGTTGCAAAACCCAAGACACAATTGTCATTTGGGAGATCATCCACAGAGGTCAAGATATTGGGCTGGTAGTTGTTGATAACAACTCAGGATAGAGCATGGTTCTCACCAGTTACCTTCTTTAATAACTAGAACATACCTGAGTTTTTTTAGCATTGTCCTCATTGTCAACAAGCTAGCAGAGATTGAAATATTGACTGATGGTAAACTTAATGTCCTGTATCTTGTTTTGGTCATTCTTCTTGTTGCAGATAAAGGCATCTACTACTACTAGGGTGACTGCATCTGTGGCAGTTGGATCCATCTGCAAGATCTTGACATCTGTTGAAAAGGAACAAGACAAAGATGCACTCTGTCAGATATCCACAACAAACTGTGTGTTAACAAAGGAGATACTGTCAGGAGGGGTGAGTGGATTTGGCCCCATGATAAAGTCAGTCATGAGCGCAGTGTAGATGCAAAAGTGGTRTTGTCCTTCCAATTCAGAGTCGGAAGTGCCAGCATTGCTATATCCRTTGCTGTTGGCAGACACYGGAAAGCAGATCTGGTAGTCACCACTACTGCTTCTGTTGAGAGCAAAGGGRTATTTCATGTTGACAACTGTCTTTCCAACCCCCCCATTGGTGGTTCAGGGAAACGGTACAGCAAAGAATAGTACTCATCAAATGCATTGGGAAGGACTGCTATCAAGCCTTTCTCTTGCAATTTGAGGCTTCAAAATCTTAGAAGGGTCCCCTTGTGGTAGCCACCTCTTTCTGAAACATTGGCATAGATTTTTCCATACAAAGTCATCCCCAATTCTTTTGGGAATCTTGTTGGATGGGCTTCAAAGTACATTTCACCTGGGTAATAGTACATTTGTTTATGAAATGGGAGTAAATGAGAAATKGAGGAAAGGATATATGAGCTGCTACAACAAAATTGCAACTAAAAAGCATTTGGAAATGGGATTTCATATAGGCTGCAATTAAATCCATACTCACCAAAGAAGGGTTAGTAGACCAAAAAACATTTCCCATTCGGCTTCTGTTGATTGGTGGGGTGGCCAGCTCCAAGGAACTCCTAGGATTGGGGTTTCCATCATTGCGACTGGGCATTGAGCTTGCACTTGGCATAGAGGATGGCATTAAAGCTGGGCATTTGAATTGGTCTATGCAATTCTTGATTTGTAGGCGTTTCTGGTAAATCAATCGATGGAGAATTTGATGGCTCTGGTGCAACGGATAGCAGATTCAGGTACTAGTACTATTGTCCCTCTGATGGTACAACTATCAGTGGTTGACGAGTTTCAACTTCAATTTACACTGACAAGGAAATATTTCACTAGAAGAATACTACTCTGATGATTTTCAAGAAATTGGAAAAGGTGACACTGCTATGACACTGCTATAGGCAAGAAGACTACATTTGTGAGGGTACCGTATTTAAGCGGACACCGTTGCTTCATAGCGGCAGTGTTGCCGTATGTGCAGCAATTCCTAGGGACAAGGCAGTTGCATTTACGCTTTTTTGTATCGGTTGGAATATTCAAATTAGTCGCGAACATTAAAGCGGAATGCCGTGAGCATGAATCAGAACCATTGTCAGCTCGGATCAGTGGCACTCAATTGGTGTGCTAGTACGAGGAATTACGCACGACACAAAATGCTTCTGATACGATTGATTACGCAACGCTCGGTTCCCACGAACAGCACTCGTATGGTGTTGCGGCTGAGTGGTGTAGAAAGTTTCCGTAGTCCGTTAATTACGCGGAAGGGTGATTACGTCTTGCGGCGCCGAATGAAACTCAAACCATGCAGAACAGATCCATAGTGAGCAATCTGTAGTATGCCCTCTTGGAACACAGTAAAGCGCTGACAAGATCCTTTTGTATAGCACGAGTAAAGTGATAGCAGATAATAACCCCTCGTTGAACTTGGGTTGCGTCTACCAACCTTGTTGACACGATTTCGATTAGCTTGAATCTCGACGATGGACAACTTGTAAAAAAAATGTATCACCACTCTTTTTTCAGTTTTTAATCGTAAAAAGAATTTAACAAGATATGCACACAAGCTTCTTTGCTGTGCCAGACGCGAATGTACTTACTACAAGTTGAAATATTGTACAGTACGGTACTCGTACTGATAAAATATTGTGACACATTTTTTCGGCAGCACGCGCTTTAGATTTTTCTTTAGCGCTACAAGCACGAGTCCCAATTCCTGTGTGCGAACGGTACTACGTAACGTAATTAAGTACTCTGCTGACCAGGTTGGAGCGGCACGTACGAGTACCGTATTGTAATCGATCCAAGATCGGATTTTTCCAATTCGCCGAAGTGACACCACTTCGTTTCCGTTGATGGTTGAATGGTTGAATGGTTGAATGGGCGTATTGCAAGAAAGAAAAATTACCCAACACGAAACTTTTTACTCCTGGTACATAGAGAATAGAAGACCCTTTTACAAAAAGTACTGTTTGTAAGGCGAACATAATATTGGGGGTGTCTCTGCTTTCCTCTCAYAATTTCAATAACCGAACCAAAGAGTAGCTCAAAATCATCGAAGCTATCAAAGCTCTTAGTGATATCCCTGAAAGCTATCGCACCTTAGAAGAACTAACCAGCTACACAATCCAACAATGTCGATTTTTCGAACTACCATCCTTGCTGCTTTCCTAATTACCGCAAGCATCGCTGCTCCGGAGGAACCTTGCTTCGATTACACTGAGGTTTTAAAAGCCGAGTTTCCCACTTGCACCGCAAGATCTCTTTTCAGACAGATAAAGATGGCCTTCCGTGAACTAAGAGAAGTCAATGGACGATGCAGGGGGGGAGTCAAGCATGAATTGATGGCGCTGACTGGCACTACTAGCATTGATGATGTCCATAAAGCTCTGCAAGACCTGTGCAATGAGGCACTGGCCGAGGCAACGGAGGCAGTCAACGACGAAACTTGGAATCGCTTGCAAGAGGAACCGTACAACATAGACCTTAACGAATTTTTCAATGGGTATGGACACTTGAACCTGGAGACGGGAAACTTTCGACAATATCCATCATCTTTCGAAAAGAGGGGTGGGTCAGAACGATTCTTGTACATCGGAGAAGATCCCCGATTGAACGACCACTACGCTACCACTGAAGCGTCGTATTTGGGTGGTGAAGGAGTGAATRAATTCTACAACGAAGAAGCCAAAAAGTTCTTCCTGCAGGCTCCCACATCCAACTTTGAGCAGGGCTGCAGATCCAACACGGCCATGTGCTGCTGGCAACGTGACCGGCAGTACCTCGACAGGAATGGAAATTGTGGTTTTAACGATTGCTCCAACCAAAACCCTATGGACAACACCGACCTCTGTTGGACCGAAGAAGATGGGACCATCTTTCCCTACCCCGGAGATGAGACCGAAAACGACTTGCACTGCCATGGATTTGCCTGGGGGAACGACGATGGCGGCGTCAACACAGAAGCCAAATGGAATAACTTGTTCTTTGTGTCAATGTATGATCATCTGTACCAGCGTGGGTACGTAGAATCAATCACCAACGATCCCAAGATTGCGGGAGACCAGGTCATGTGTGGATGTGTTGAGGACATGGCCCCAGTGGCCCGTGCTGATTGTACCGAAGCGATCGGGCTGTTGAACTACACATCGTACTTCGACCCCGAGAAAAAAAGGCTCGCCATCAAACACGTTCCCGATAGCTTCGAATTGAATTTCCGCAGTTGCAGGGGATACGATTACATGCCGTTTTACCAACCMAAGGACTACAAGGCAAATCAAAACGACCTAGATTTGGAAAATTCCAACAATGATCTAGCCGCCTTCGTCTTCCGCCAATATCTCGAGGGAAAGATGACGGATGACCAAGTGGATCTAGTCGAAAAGACTATAATTGGATACCGCAATCCCAAGGTGAACGAAAACGACGAAGAGCGAGAAAAAGCATGTGCAAACGCTTATAAAGAACGATTCGGAAACGACAACTATGTAGAGCGCGAAATCGAGATCGCCTGAACACCAACGCAATATGTTTCAACACGAAAGAAGTACGAAGTACAAGGCTAAAGCAATACAAACCRCAAAGCAAATACAGGGTGTAGGGCTGTACTAGTCATATGAATAGGAAGAGCTGGTAGGACGTTCTCGCTCTGCTAGTTTTTCCAATCCGAGAGGAATGCAAAAGTATTAGAAAATCCATTTCAGTAGACGAGTTCTGCGCTTCTTTTCACAAAATGTTGACGGCTGTATCCATTTTATCGTCACATCGTCGGCAACAACGATGCTAGATACTTCTAATTTTTATTAACTCTATATATAGGACGACACTGATCACACCACACGCGCAACGTCGAGGACTCGTGTTCTCCGCAAGGCACGCGATCCGATCGTTCTCGGCGGTTGTTGCGGCATTGCATTGGAAGAGAAGGCCGTGCCAGCGTGTGGCTCCAATCCAACTACTGCGTTTCATTGCGTTGCGTTGCTTGTTGCTTTGCTTGTTGCTTGTTGCTACATCGATATTTCCGTGCTCACGACATCAAAAGACACCGTCTTTCGTTTCGAGTCCGATGCCTCGCAGGCATCGTGGTGGTAGGCGCTCTCTTCATCGGATGACCCCTCTCGTTCGTCCCCGCTCGGTTTGGCGCCGGTGGGTGGTTTCTTCGCTGGTGGTTCGGTCGGTTCCGGGACCATCCCGGCCACCATCGCGACCCACCATTCCCAGGAGAGCGGGGCCGGGCCCTCGTCCTCGTTTGCGTCGAACAGGGGCAGCCCGTACGACAGGTTGTGGACGCAGGCGAGGGTCATGAGCATGCCCCAGTGGTAGAGGACCGTCCCGTACACCGTGTTCCACGCCTCGAAATACCCGGCCTTGTTCGCCACCAGGGCGTCCACGACCGCAAAGGCCACCACCAGCATCGAACCGACCGTCCACTGCAGGACCATTGCCAGGACGGCGGCGATCGGGGTCGGGAGGCCCATCACCACCGCGGGCTTGTTTCGGCTCGCCGCCCTCAGCAGGAATCCCGCCGGCAGCCACAAGAGGGCGTAGGAAGCGTTCATCGCCGCCTCGGACGCGCTGGCGATCCGAAAGCAGACGTGCTTCTCGAATTCCTCGCCGCCGGTGGCCACCACTACCCCCGCCTCGCCAAAGGCGTCGATCACGCCGTCGGCCCTCAGCTCGGGCTCGATGGAACACCAGATGCTTCCGGTCAGGAACCCGCTCAGGGACAGAACAAACAGGGTTTCGCAAACGGCCAGCGGGACGTAGCTCCTGGACAAGAGCGAACGGTTTTTCAGGTTGGGATCGGTGTTCAGGGAGGCGCACAGGGCAAAGTGCGCCGTGGCCAGCCCGCTGATCGCGAAAAAGACCCTGGAAAAAATCCAGGACACCCAATAGCCCAGCAACCCGCGGTTGTCCTCGGTTCCGCTGTTGGGGAAGAGCCAGTTTCCGAGGCCGGCCATGAGGAAGGCCCCGCCCATAAAAACCTGGGCCAGGATGCCCGATTTGCGGACCTCTCGCTTGCTGGGGTCCAGGAAGCTCAGGTGCAGCGCGAAGACGAAAGTCCAGAAGGCCAGGAAGAAATCGGACGCCCAGTTGAGGATCGTGTTGTCGACGCCTTCCGTTTGGCACGGGGCACCGCTGTCGGATTCGACTACGGCCGAAATGCCGTCGAAATAGCTGTCGACGCCCGTGTTCGTGTTCGTCTCTAAGCATTCGACGGGAGATTTGTAGTGCAGCGCGAGCACCATGCCGATGTAAACCGCGGTCAGCAGCAAGAGCCCAAACGTGATAAGCATGATTGGTGTGTGGGACGAGAACAGGATTTGCGTTGGTGTTGCTGCTGGAGCTCGAGCTGGTGTATATTATTGGATGTGGTTTGATGGAATGCGTTTCAGGTCAAAGACAAAGTTTCAATTTCTGTTTTGCCTTCCTTTGTGTTTTGGGAGTTTGAAGAATGAAATCTCTGATTGGCTTCTGTTGTTTCTCGACCTTTCCGGCAGCCGGTTTGCATTTATTWATTTCCCTCTCCGGTGACGTTTGCTAGGTCAACATACAGTGACAGGAGGAGCGTACAAGGAAGAAGCAACGGCAGAATCGCAGTCCTTGTCCGCATCTATCTAGCTAGTAGTAGATGGTATRCCGGTACACGATCGAAAATCCGAAACGGTACTTGATGAAAACAATACGTCTATTACCCGTACCACTAKTACGAGTCCTACGTACGAACCTCCCCTACTCGATACGATACTCGGTGCTACGTACAGGAATGCTGTTGTAAAAATTTTTGGATTTCAAATTTCAACGCATAACATGTGGATCGTGCCTCGATTCACGGGAGGTGCGCCATGCCATGCAACGCTTAGTTCATGAACCGATCTACGGTACGGTACGGTACTACGTGGTGAGGTACCGTACATACCGGTCTGTACTACGGTACTACTAGTAAGTACTAGAGCTACTAAGTAAAATTCCAGTGCTGGCAAGTTAAAGGCAATTTCCCGAGTGTCAATTTTTTCTTATTTTCCCGTCTTTATTTCCCCTCTCTCCCCCCTCCACACAAGAAACTATTGCCCTAAAATATTTCCTATTACTTGTCCTTACTACTGGGGATATAAAATCAGTGCTTCTACTTGAGAATTAATAATAGTACTAGTAGTGCTTACTACTAATGGATCACCTCCACCGCCATTAGTACTACTTGCTAGTACTAGTAGCAGTAGTAGTACTACTAGTAGTAGTAGTTGGAATGTCATAATAGCTAGTGAACACTGCGAACTGGTGCTGGTGGTGGGGGCGGGTAAGAGGGTTCTGTTGGTGCTGCTCTCTTCTTGTCAAAAACTGATAGATGCATCATGTGTTAAAGATCATTTTATTTTTGATGAAGTTCTTACTAATTGAAAGTTGAAAAGTTTTACTAGTAGTATTATGCAAATATTTCTATTTCTTGTGGTCCTTACTACTAGTACTGCTGGAGATATAAAATCAGTGCTTATCTCCAGTATTAAGGACCACTAATAGAAACATATTGGGACTAGTAATAGTAGCAAGAAACTAAAACAATGGAAATATTTGTGTTTTTGTCCATTGGATGCCTTTTTTAACTGGTTTCAACTGTAAAAATGAGCTAAAAATTTCTATTATGTCCGTAAACTGTTTCTGTACCAGTATACACCCCTCCATACCCTAAATTTCGTATTCCCAACCCCCTTTACGGGTAGTCTCAACCTTTTCCAGTTTGGAATAAAATGTTTTAGCTCTAAATTCACAAATCGTCCCTCTTTGACAGAAGTACTCCCCATTTTAGAAAACTCCTGCCTTTTTCACTTAATTTGACTAAGTATAAATTGGACGTGACAATATTTGCAAAATTCAAGATCTACCAGTAGTACTAGAAATTGTTGGATGGACCTCCAGCACCATCCAAACTACACAGATTTCTACACGGCACTTGCTGACAACCAGACCAGTAAATCAGATTAATTTTTTTTACAAAAAACAACATCCTCTGATGACGTCCTGATGACGTCCCCAGATGACATCCCCACCCCAGACGACGTCCTCTGGGGACGTTCCCAGACGACATCCCCAACCCAGACAACGTCCTCTGGGGACGTTCCCAGATGACATCCCCAGAGGACGTCCCCAGAGGACATCCCCAGATGATGTTCCCACCCCAGACGACGTCCCCAGATGATGTTCCCACCCCAGATGACGTCCCCAGACGACGTCCCCAGATGATGTCCCCACCCCAGACAACGTCCGCAGACGACGTCCTCTGATGACGTCCCCAGAAGATGTCCCCAGACAACATCCCCAGACAACGTCCCCAGACAACATCCCCAGACGACCTCCTCTGATGACATCCCTGGACAACGTCCCCAGAGGATGTTGTTCCCAGACAACTTCACTTTCTGTTCAAAAAGGAAAAAACAACAATCAAAAACAACGTCGACAATCCATATCACATCCACAATCCATACCTACAATCCATATAGCAGAACAACATGGAAACATGCTATTAGTTCCCTCATTTTCAACTGGGGTTGGGGATGACATACTCATTGGTTCTGTTCCAAAAAGGCCAAAACAACAGTTGACAAGAGGATTTATCCATGTAGTGGGTCTTTTCAATGCATGTACTGTATTAGTAGCAGTAACCTTAATAGTATATAGTATGGTACCATAATATCTGTCCCTTTGTACTATCCTTTGGAAAAAATTCATATCCACCACTGCAGTAGAAACTCCTAGTAGCTCAGTACTCTATTGCATGTCAACCGTTGACAAGCCTGGCTCTTGATCAAACATCAGTCTCATTTCAATTCAACTTGTTTGTTTCTTGTTTCTGTTTCCTGCTTCCGTTTCATTTTGTTTTTTTCTTGTTTTCCCATAAGATCAAGCTGAATGTATGTATCAATTAGTAGAGATTATCCACGATTTGCAAACCAAGAGAAGAATACAGTCTGAATCAGTCCATGATTTTGAAATGGCGTTTATTGTTGGTGCTTCCGTGTTATCTTTGCGGAATGGGTGTGTTCAACACAGGAGGACACAACTGCCACAAAAAGGAATCCGGTTGGAAGAACAAACTCCCAATCTCCATTGTATCAAACAAGAACAACAAACAACTCCAAAGCATGGTTCTACCTTTTGCACTCATCCTCCTTTCCTGTTTTCCTCTCATGAACATGACAACGGAACATGGAGAAGACAATGAAAATGTCGAACAAGGTGAAGTTTCTGATGTAACACAAGGGAACAACATGGCTCGGGTTTGAGCTTCTCAGGAGACAGCCATCGACCTAACAGAAGATGATGATGTTGTCTCCGACCTAACGGAAGATGATGCTGTTGCAGATGCGGTTCCGTCCAGTGCTGATGTTGCACCCAATGCCACTGGAACACAACCAACAATGACCAACATGGATCACACCTCCCCAGGTATTTCCCCAACACGTGCACCGACCATCCCAAAAAAAGCAAGAGTGAATACCCAAGCCCAAGCCAGGGAACCCAGCACCAAAGCAGACTCCCCAGCTGGTGTCTCCCATAGGGTTGCCACCAGAAACGCCACCATCCCTCCAGGCCTCCTCCCAACTGGGGTTCTGGCCCCAGTCATGGTCAGA